ATAATTATTCATCACTGATCCATTGCCTACGAGCTTTTCACATATTGATCTTTGCTTAGTTACTTTTCCGTTGCTACTGTTACAATCACTACAAAACCAATACTGTTACTTTTGCCACCGTTACCGTTACTTCCATACTACTTTGCTACTAGATACTTTGTTGCAGATATGAAGTCTTTCAGGTGCGGTTGAATTGACAACTCAATTGTTAATACTTGAGAATATTATTTGGCTCCCCTTGTGTCAAAACAATAAATTTGGGTTGAATACTCTACCCTCGAAAACTGTTGCGATCCCCTATACTTGTGGGTTATCAGGACTCAATGTGATCTTGTATCACTAAAATGAAAATGTAGAGTCTTGAGTTTGAGCCAACTTGTGTCCTTAGCATTTTGAGGGGTCCACATTCCTAGTCCATGCCATGCCAATCATTGTACTTTTTGAAACGATCATCTTGAAAGAGTATTAGTTCAGTGAGCTATATGTTGTTAGGAATTACCAAAACCACCCAGGGATAGTTGCACTTTCAGGTGCGCCCTGGTGGCTTGTGGGGCCTGTGTGCCTACGTTTGACCTAACTCGGCCCCTATAAATTCTCTAAAATCATGAAACCAACAGAGGAGTCCATGAAATACCTTTTTCACCACCGCAAGTTTCAGAACCACGAGATCCCATGTGGAGGCCTTTTCCGGCACTCTGCCAAAGGGGGGAGTCGATCACGGAGGGGCTCTACATCATCCTTGCTGCCCTTTCGATGATGCGTGAGTAGTTTACCATGGACCTTCGGGTCCATAGGTAGTAGATAGATGGCTTGTTCTCTCTATTTGATCTTCAATGCAATGTTCTCCTCTATGTTCTTGGATATCTATTCGATGTAATGACTTTTTGCGGTGTGTTTGTTGGGATCTGATGAATTGTGAGTTTATGATCAAATCTATCCATGAATATTATTTGAGTTTTCTCTGAACTCTTTTATGCATGATTAGTGGGTTCGGTCTTGCGGTCGCTATCACAAGTGGCAATATAAAGTGACGTTCCTTTGCATTAAGAGTTTGTGCATCCAAATAAAAAGCGCATGACAACCTCTGCTTCCCTCCATGAAGGGCCTATCTTTCATTTTAAATACCTACCTTTATGCAGGAGTCATGGTGATCTTCATCATTCCTTTTATTTTTCTCTTTTTAGTAAGCATCATGTGCTGGGGAAAGATCTAGGCACACATATCCAGTCGGATGTAGGTGATCATGAGTTATTATTGTTGACATTACCCTTGATGTAAATGGTTGGGAGGCGAAATTATAAGCCCCTATGTTTCTATGTGTCTGACTGAAGCTTTGATCTCATAAGTATCGCGTGAGTTTTAGCAATTGTGAAAGACAAAATGATGGTCAAGTATGTGAACTTGCTAAATAAAAGCTCTGACATAGACTCTTATCTAACATTATGACAAATTGCAATTGCATTAATGACTGAGATCATAGTTTGTTAGTTTTCAATGAAGTTTATGGTTCATACTTTACCTTGTGAACCAACTATCACTTTAGCATGAGAAGTTATATGACAATATATTGATGTTCTAACGATGATCATGATGCCCACATGTCCGTATTTTGTTTTATCGGCACCTCTATCTCTAAACATGTGGCCATGATTATCGATTTCGGCTTTTGCTTGAGGACAGGCCAGGTCTAAGCTTTGGGGAGTTGATACGTCCATTTTGCATCATGTTTTTATGTTGATATTTATTGCATTATGAATGGTTATTACACTTTATGATGCAATTCTTATGCCTTTTCTCTCTTATTTTGCAAGATTCACATGAAAAGGGAGAATGCTGACAGCTGGAATTCTGGACAGGAAAGGAGCAAATCTGAGATCCCTATTCTGCACAACTCCAAATGTCCTGAAACTTTATGGAGAAATATTTTGAAATATATAAAAATATTGGGCGAAGAAATACCAGGAGGGGACCCACCAGGTGGCCACAAGCCTGGGGGCGCGCTCCCTGAGCTTGTGCCCCCCTGGCCAGCCTTCGATGCCCATCTTTTGCTATATGAAGTGTTTTGACCTAGAAAAAATGAAGAGAAGACTTTTGGGATGAAGCGCCACCGTCTTGAGGTAGAACCTGGGCAGAAGCAATCTAGGTCTTTGGCGGAGCGATTCCGCCGGGGAAACCTCCCTCCGGGAGAGGGAAATCGAAGCCATCGTCATCACCAACGATCCTCTCATCATGGGAGGACCAATCTTTATCAACATTTTCACCAGCACCATCTCATCTCAAACCCTAACTCATCTCTTGTATTCAATTTTTGTCTCAAAATCTCAGATTGGTACCTGTGGGTTGCTAGTAGTGTTGATTACTCCTTGTAGTTGATGCTAGTTGGTTTATTTGGTGGAAGATCATATGTTTAGATCATTAATGATATTCAATACCTCTCTGATCATGAACATGAACATGCTTTGTGAGTAGTTACTTTCGTTCCTGAGGACATGTGAGAAGTCTTGTTATAAGTAATCATGTGAATTTGGTATTCGTTCGATATTTTGATGAGATGTATGTTATTTTTCCTTCAGTGGTGTTATGTGAACGTCGACTACATGACACTTCACCATGATTTGAGCTAGAGGAAGACATTGGGAAGTATCAAGTAGATGATGGTTTGCTAGAGTGATAGAAGCGTAAACTCTAGTTTATGCGTGGCACTGTCAAAGTGAGAGGATGAGTCTGCCGCCATTGTCTACCGAGGCACCATCTTGAAGTGGTGAGGCAGACGAGGGGACGGGTAGGGTTCCTCCTGCCGAGAGAAGTGAGATGTCCTTTTCTCTATACCAGGAGAGGAAGGAGACATTGTAAAGGAACATTTTGGCTGACCTGAATTAAACATATCTAATGAGATAGTTAGGTCGTCAACAACCAGTCGGTTTTTCTCTACCTGCATAGAAAGCAACATTGCAAAAGAAACATTTTGGTGGACCTGAATTAAGCACAACGACTTGCATGGTACACCTGAATTAAACATGTCTAATTAGATAGTGTAGGCTGTCAACAACCAGTCAGTTTTTCTCTACCTACATAAAAAGCAACATTGAAAAAGAAACATTTTGGTGGACCTAAATTAAGCACAACGACTTGCATGGTGCATGCTATCAACGGCCATCCACAGACGCGCATGGAAGAGAATATCCCACGGGTGGACGCGAACAATCCCCCGGCGGTGATCATGGAGATTGACCGCCCTGGGGCAGCGCAGTGCTATGGTTTGAATCGGTTAGGCTGATACCATGTTTGAAGGGATAGAGAGGGACTGATGAATTGTTGTTTATTACTTGAGCCTCGTGAGCATATATATAGAAGTACAATGATCAACTCAAAGTACAAGATAAGAGAGAACATATTCTAGTCCATCCCGTATTTCCTAACTAATCACGATACTTAACAATCACAACCACCCCTGAAGGACCTTGGGGCTACCACCCTGGTACCCGAATTCCATTGGACGCGTGCACTGTCGACAGTCAACGTTGCGCTGACCAGGGACCTCCCCAAGCGAGAGGATGAGCCCCGCCAGCGTTGTCCGCCGAGGCAGCATCTTGAAGTGGTGAGGGGTAGGGTTCCTCCTGCCGAGAGAAGTGAGATGTCATTTTCTCTACCAGGAGAGAAAGGAAATATTGTAAAGGAACATTTTGGCTGACATGAATTAAACTCGTCTAATTAGAGTGTGTAGGCTGTCAACAGACAGCCAATCTTTCTCGACCTGCATAGAAAGGAGCATTGCAAAAGAAACATTTTGATGGACCTGAATTAAGCACAACGACTTGTATGATGTAGGCTGTCAACAGCCATCTAGGGATGCGCATGGAAGAGAATATCCCACGTGTAGACGCGAACAGACTAACGAATTGACCAATTCGTCCATGCCACAAGTGGACCAAGAACATATACGCCTTCGCCTTTCTGAATGTTCGAGATTTCCTATCCACAAAATCCGCAATCTCGTACAACTATTTTTCTTTGAACACATTAGAGACGCAAGCGCTCCCACATACGCGCATATACTCACACTTATGAACACATACACACGCATACCCTGCCCTTATGAGCATATTTGAGAGACCGAGTCAATATATCCTTGAGATTTACAAAGTCACCGTAGACGAATCGTGGTCGACGAAAACATCTCCTGCCACTGAAAACGTATCGCCAAAAATCCTGAAATAAATCAAGAAAAAATAATGCGAGCGCAAGAAGTTTAACCCTGATGGGTTAGGAATACCACTGTTTTTCAAACGATCGAACCACAGGTTGGTTCACATCTAGCACTACTATTGAGGCAAGCAGATAGAGATGGAGGGATGACCCGTCTGGCTGACAGCCCCGTCCACTGCCGTGACGCAGCGGGCGCCGGGGCGAGGAAGAAGAAGAATATACAGCTGCCGACCTGAAAGGTACGGCCAACGGCGACGCCGATCCGATCCACGCGCGTCGCGGCTTCGCCCGTGCATGTCACCGCCGCAAACCGCTCGCGTGGTGTGCCGTGCCGGGAGACGAGAGAGGAAAAGTCTCTGCGTGCGCGCCTCCGTCCGAATATCTGGTCTGGTCCGGGGACTGGAGCCAGAGCCAGAGCCCGGCCGAAACCGACGACCCCGTGCGTGCGCCGTGTCGCCCTCGCGGGCGCGCACATGGCCACGCATGACTTGGCGCGTCGCCGTCCGCCTAGATGAATGGGGCCCGGCCACGCATCCACCCACGACCGCGATCCATCCCTCCTGGCGCGAGTCGGAGCCTCGGAGCGCCGCGCCCGCCCGCGCTAAAAGGGGGCCGGAGGAGCAGGGGCAGGGGGGACGCACGCACGCACGCAGCCGCCACCGGCCCACCTCGCCCCCGCTTTGCCCTGCCCTGCTCTGCGCGCACCACCAATCATCGGCGCGCGCACTAGCTCGGCAGCCCCCCGGCGCCGCGGCTCCTGCCGTGCTGTGCTGACCCGCCGTCGGTCCTCGGCCATGAACCGCCCGACGCCGGCGCACCAGAGGGGCATGCCGCCGCCGCCGCAGCTGGCGCGGTACGGCTCCGCGCCGGGCTCCTTCCTCGCCGCGCTGGCCGACTCCGTCGCGCGCGGCGGGGGCGGGGGCGAGGTGCCCTCCCACTCCCAGCCCCAGCAGCAGCAGCATCAGCAGCACCAGCCGGTGGCGGCCGTGGTGAGCCGGTTCTTCTCGGGGGAGTCGTCCGGGCTGACCTCCTGCGAGTCCAGCTGCCGGACGGCGGACGCCCCGGCGCCGCTCCAGCGGGCCTACGGCGGCTCCAGCGAGATCCACGTGCCCCTCCCGCAGCAGCAGCAGCAGCAGCCGGGGCTCCTCCGCCACAGCAGCTCCCCCGCCGGGCTGCTCTCCCGCCTCATGGCCGACCCGCACGGTACGCACCTACGCCCCCGTCCTACCCCCTCGCACCCGCTCTCCCGCCGTCGGTCGATCGATCGCTCGTCCTGCGGTCCTGCCTACCGAGTGCCTTTCTCGTGTGTCGTGCGCCCATAGGTTAGGCGGCCGGCCCGCCGCGGTGGCCGAGCTCGCTCGCTCCTGTTTCCTGCTCCTCCTCCATGATCGACCTCTCTAGCTCGTCCATGGTTTGCGTGGAAGCCTGATCCGTGATCTGCCAGCCTTGTTAGCGGGCGCTTAATCAATTCAGTTTTGGTAGCGGTAGCTTACGCCTCTACTGCCTCACCGTGCTTAGATAATACTCGCTCCCTTCGTTCCGAATTACTTGTCCCAGGTATAAATATATCTAAATGTATTTTAATTCTAGATACATCCATTTCTGTGACGAATAATCTAAAATGGACGGAGTACGTACTGCTCACCTCGATGAAGGTCAATGGTGGTTTTGTATGAGTAATCTGTACTCCCATCTCCTAATCTGTTGGGTGGCTGGCAAATGCCAGAAGGAAGGAGACGGAGGGGGTGGAATCATCTTTCTTATATTCTATTAACGGATAAAAAGCATACTCCTCCTCCTCATCATCTTGTCCATTGTTAGTTATTAAGCGCACCTTATCTATCCATCTCATCTCATCTCATCTCAGATGCAGCACTATCATTGACCCATTATTCTATGCAAATCATATATGCAAACTTCATTGGCACATATAATCAGTGCACTGAACCCACCTACATAATAAACACAAGGGGTAGGGGTATATTGTATCTCGCTGACGTGGCCTGATCCTTCCTTGCTGGCAGTGCCATCAGAGAACCTGGACACATGTCACCCCTCTTTTGTCCGACTAAGCATATCACCCAGTATTACCAGCACATGTCACGCAGGCGGCTCGCAGCACCTGGTCATCCACGATTAATTAGCGAACAAAATTCAGAAGAAGCGACACGGAGATAATGCAGGTTAATACATGCGTATCGCGTCCGCGTCGATCTGATGTGACTGTCATGAGGCAAAATGTTAATAAATCAAAGGGATGATTAGAAATTGCACCATGTGTCTTTCTGCCGTGTATTTTTATTCATTTTCGTATGGCCATTGATTGCCGACTAAACTAAACTAAAAGATAGCGCAGCAATTTCCTTGGCTCGACGACTTTGAAAAGTCAGGCCACTTACAGCCGTTAACCCCCCGCCTTGTGTTCTCTGGCGTAATAAAGCCAGTGGTGGTGATAAAAAGGGTGAAAATGATGTGCCGGTTGCAAAGCAAATCATCTGTTTATACGCACCGAACTTTACGTAGAGGTGATTATTCTCCCAGTGACCCAGTACGTACGAACTCCCTCCATTTCAAATTACTTGTCACAGGTATGAATGTATTTAGATATATTTTAGTTCTAGATATTTCGGGATGCCTGACGACCACTGTTCATTTCTGCTCGATGATGACAAACGCCGGCTTGTCTTTAGCTCTGTGTCAGTGCAGTACCAGGTGTAGGGTAGCATGGTGCGGTGGTAGTAGTTCGTGTCGTGTCCTGGGTCGACGTAGCGGTTGGCGGGCCGGGCCGGGCGTGGGGCGTCGCAGTCAGTCACTCTCACAACTGCTGACCTGTTCTTGCAGGCAATGGCGGCATGGGCGGCGCTAGAGGAGGGATGGGGAGCGGCTACGCGCACTCGCAGGGAGGAGGCAACGTCGACGCCGTGGCGGCGCAGCAGAGGAGGCTGAGCTCGCAGTGGAGCTTCTCGAGGCAGCAGGACATGATGCCGCACATCGCGGAGATGGGGATGGCCATGCACACGCCCACGCCGATGCCGCCGGCCGACGTCGGCGAGAGCATCGGCACCGGCCACGGCAACGGCTCCGGCGACCTCTCCAGGAGCTTCTCCATGAGCTCCTGGGACGACACCAACTCCAACATCATCTTCTCCGCGCCCGGTGGCGGCGGCAAGAAGGCCAAGCTGATGGCCGACGGCGACGACGGCATGGTCACCAGCTACAGCAACATCGACTCCCAGGTACAGTACGCTCACATCATCACATGGCTCATCCGGACTGTGTGCTGCCGCCATTGTTTACGCTTCTGACGCCTTGCTCCAAATTCAGTTTGGCTCGTCTCTGGACATGCCTGGCATGGACGACTACCTGCAGCTGCAGCAGGACTCCGTCGCCTGCAGGGTCCGCGCCAAGCGCGGCTGCGCCACTCACCCGCGGAGCATCGCCGAGAGGGTCAGTTAGCTTTCTCTCCGACATTATCGGCTCCAACTTGACTTAAAATCACCATTACTCCTTGCATGTTCGCTGTCGATCGGATGTTTAAACTGAATCATTTTCCTGTTTGTGATGTTTATAGGAAAGAAGAACGAGGATCAGCAAGAGGCTTAGGAGGCTGCAAGACCTCGTGCCCAACATGGACAAGGTAACTAAACCAGTTGAATTATTGTTGGCAGTAATGGGCAATGTCAACTTCGTCAGTTCTCGAAAAAATGCTGTCAGCAGACATGGATGGAATTTTCACCAAGAATTATAGAAGCCCGTACTCACTAAAGTACTAATGCGTGACAATTTTCACCTAAACTGGATGCATTTTGCCTTGACAAAAACCCAAAACCCAAGTAGCTGTTAATCACCTGGACCTAGTTAATTCAGATTTCAGGATTGCAACCGTGCATCAGAAATATTAATAAGTTTCTTCTTGGTTATGCAGCAAACAAATACTTCTGACATGCTGGATATTGCTGTTGACTACATCAAAGTGCTGCAGGACCAAATCGAGGTATGCTCAGTGCTCACGCCTGTGTTATATATATCACACCTCCAGTTCCAGGAGGCCTTGTTAAAGACACATTGACATGTTTGCTTAAAAAAATACGCAAGTATGAAAAAAAGTTGAAATAAAATTATTTATTATCTTTGGGTTTATGCAGAAACTGAAACAGGACCAAGGAAACTGCTCTTGCTCAGCCGATCAGAAGTGCTGACGCCGAAACCCAGATATGTGAGGTTATGTTTGTACCAATGTGATTAGCAAGCCCAAGTTTTGCTTCGGGAGATTAAGTTGTAAATGCCCTTCGTATCTCAAGTAGTCTCCATATGCCTATCTTCCCCTTTCGTGGTTGTACTATGGATTACTAGTTTCAATGGCTTAAAGACTAGGAGGTGACAAGTAGAGTGTTGTAATTTGAGTATGTAAGGCATTGCCAATCTTTCATTTCAACGCAAGTTGGATCGCTTCTGCTTATCATCATTTCCCCTCGTAAAATTAATGTAGGGATCCCCTACCTTGAGTCATTCTCATGCTATCAAAGTTTAATTTTCAGGATTACCAGAAGCACAAAGTGTTATGCGTGGCACAAAATATGTACCTCCTGTCTACTTCTCCAAAACAAATTTGGACCCAATGAGTTCTTCCAAATTTTCAACCGTAAAATTATTCATGTTAACCTGAAACACCTTGATGCAAAAAAGAAAAATACTTGAATCTCCACATCATGTTCGACAACTTGACGCTTGCTTCCATCGTCAAGCTTCATGACAACCCGAAGGACTCCAACGGTAAGTTCGTAATTTACAACACACAACTCCGGACCTTTTTCCCTACGAAATTAGACCAAGTTTTTGTCACGACAGTCGTTCGAACCAGTTCGCCGGCGGTGAGGTAGCTACGGAGAGGAGGAGGAGAGGGAGCGGCCATGGCGTCCCTGAGCAGAAGAGGGAGAATGAGGAAAGCTCGGGAGAGGATAAGAGCAGAGATAGACAAGAGGCTCAGAATGATTTCATTTCAAACTCGATGATCTCTACAGGGCAACCTCGCTTGCTTATAAACTACAAGCCCATACTCCACTCGGCCCATCGGCCCACCCGTACAACACAACCCACTAAAGCGATGACAGCTGGATTATTTCAAAGTTCCCGCTTCATTCAGAGCTCCTGTTCCTTCCTTTGCACCTGCTGGCTAGTTCTGCTCCTGACACTGATAACCCACAAGTATAGGGGATCGCAACAGTTTTCGGGGGTAGAGTATTCAACCCAAATTTATTGATTCGACACAAGGGGAGCCAAAGAATATTCTCAAGTATTAGCAGCTGAGTTGTCAATTCAACCACACCTGAAAGACTTAATATATGCAGCACAATATTTAGTAGCAAAGTAGTATGAAAGTAGCGGTAACCGTGGCAAAAGTAATAGTAGCAGTTTTGTAGCAATCGTAACAGTGGCAACGGAAAAGTAGCTAAGCAAAGATCAATATATGAAAAGGTTGTAGGCAATGGATCCATGATGGATAATTATGTCGGATGGCATTCATCATACAAAGGTTATAAAACATAGGATGACACATAACTAGCTTCAGTTCATCAATGTAATGTAAGCATGTATTCCGAATATAGTCATACATGCTTATGGAAAAGAACTTGCATGGCATCTTTTGTCCTGCCCTCCCGTGGCAGCGGGGTCCTATTAGAAACTAAGGGATATTAAGGCCTCCTTTTAATAGAGTACCGGATCAAAGCATTAGCACTTAGTGAATACATGAACTCCTCAAACTACGATCATCGCCGGAGTGGTCCCGACTATTGTCACTCCGGGGTTGCCGGATCATAACACGTAGTAGGTGACTATAAATTGCAATATCAGATCAAGAACACAAATATATTCATGAAAACATAATAGGTTCAGATCTGAAATCATGGCACTCGGGCCCTAGTGACAAGCATTAGGCATAGCAAAAGTCATAGCAACATCAATCTTAGAACATAGTGGATACTAGGGATCAAACCCTAACCAAACTAACTCAATTACATGGTAAAACTCATCCAACCCATCACGGTCCAGCAAGTCTGCGATGGAATTAATCACGAACGGCGGTGAGCATCATGGAATTGGTGATGGACGATGGTTGATGATGACGATGGCGACGGATTCCCCTCTCCGGAGCCCCAAACGGACTCCAGATCTGCCCTCCCGAGGAAGAACAGGGCTTGGCGGCGGCTCTGTATCGTAAAACGCAATGAATTCTTCTTCCTGATTTTTTTTCTACCTGAAAGTGATTATATGGAGTTGGACTTGAGGTCGGTGGAGGTCCAGGGGGCCCACAAGGTCGGAGGGCGCGCCCCCCACCCTTGTGGCTAGGGTGTGGCCCCCCTGGTGCTGATTCTTTCGCCAATATTTTTTATTAATTGCATAAAAAATCTCCGTTGATTTTCAGGTCATTCCGAGAACTTTTTATTCTGCACAAAAATAATACCATGGCAATTCTGCTGAAAACATCGTCAGTCCGGGTTGGTTTCATTCAAATCATACAAGTTAGAGTCGAAACCAAGGTCAAAAGAGTTTGAAAAAGTGGATACGTTGGAGACGTATCACACACCACCGTTGTTGCACTTACAGTACTTGCCCAAGGAGAACCAGCATGCCCCCATGCTAGTGCATTGGGGAAACGTTGCTTTAGCACTTCATAGTCCTCCCAGGTGGCCGAAGTCGCCGATATAGTAGCCCACTTGATGAGCACTTGCAGATGCGATGTGTTGCTCTTCTTGACCAGACGACGATCCAATATCTCCCCTAGAAAAATTCCAGGTGCAGAAAGATCGATCGGTGCAGGCAAAGATGTAAACACGGGCGTATGATTAGGCACATGATTTTTCAGCTGAGACACATGGAAAACTGGATGTACCTGACTGCCTCGAGGTAACTCCAAACGGTAAGCTGTTGCTCCTATTTTCTCCAGAATTCTGTATGGTCCAAAATACTTCAGTGCTAGCTTATGAGATGGGAGGTTCACCACAGTGGATTGAGTGTAAGGTTGCAGTCTCAAGTAAACCATTTCCCCCATAGTGAACTCTCTATCTTCTCTGTAGTTACTTCTTTAATTTGTTCTTGCTTGACAGGCAGTACACCTTGTAATCTCACCACATGTCCCTCATGTTGGAATTGTATCCATTTCTCAGCCCAGTGACACTGCATGACACCCCACTGTTCCAGCCAATCCATACCCAGTATAATGTCATCACCTCCTAAAGGCAACACATGCATATCATTAGTGAAACTATGACGCCGCATCCACCAAGTTACTTTAGGTGCCACTTCAGTGCTCTTTATAATATTTCCATTTGCTACTCTGACTTGCATTGGGTGTTTCAAGGTCTCAGTTGGGACAGAAATCTTGCTCAGCAAAGCCTGGTCGACAGAAGTATGGGTGCTGCCTGAGTCCACTAAAATTAACACCACTTTGTTCCCCACTAATGCTCTCAATTGTATTGTTTTTAGGTGAACATCACCTGACAAAGTTGTAGCTGAAATTGTTGCACATTCCTCAGTTCCACCTTGTACCAAAGCATCAAGAACAACATCAGAAATTATCTCGTGTGGGTCCACCAGTTCAGCTACCTTGAGTTGAGCCCCAGGAGCTAGGACCTGATTGCACATATGGCCAGGTGCAAATTTCTCACCATATTTATAACACAATCCATTTGCTTTGCGATATTCCTTGAGTTGCTTGGCTTTCCACAAGTCCCCTGTAGCTAGGCTAGTTTTGTTCTCTGTCTTCACATATGGTGTCCTAGAAAAACTAGATTTCTGTTGCAAGAGTAAACCCTCCTAAACTGATGCATATAGAGCTGCCAGTTGCACATTCGATAGAATTTTCAGCTCCACCCCCGGCCTGAGCTCCTCTTTGAGACCCATGATAAACCTAGTGACCAGAAATGTATCACTGATTGTAGGCTCATATAACTTGACTGTGTAGACCAATTGTAAGAATTGCTGCTTGTATTCCCCCACCGTAGTTGTTTGTTTGAGCATCATTCAGGTCTTTCATTTTATGCCGATACACATTCACATCAAACTCTTGCAAAATCGCTGCACAAAATTGGTCCCAAGTGTGCAGCGCACCTGTTTTCTTAAATGCTTGGTACCAATGGGCTGCATTGTTTGTCAGATGCAGAGAGGCCGAAGTAACCTTAAAACTGTCCGGTATATTATATAGCCTGAAGAACGCCTCACACTTATCGAGCCAAATCCTCACATCAGACCCATCAAACCTCGGGAAATCCATCTTAGGCATCCACTGACGCTTTGTTGTATGTTCCTCTTCTATAGGGAGCACTGGCTGAGGAAATACGACGGGCTTGAGCGGTACCTAAACTGGACGCAACGGAGCACAATTTACGAAACCAGGGCCAACCCCCAGTATGCCATCTGACACCTCCGACGCTATTGGCGAAGAGCTCTTGCCCATCACGTGTTGCTTCCCCGTCTGAACCGTGTGGAAGTGCGTCTGCTGTACCTGCCCCAGCGTGTCGTAGGAGAGGTCGACCTTGACCTGAACCTGGTCCAGCCGTGCTGACTGCTCGGATATCTTGGCATCGAAGGCATCAAGCTAGGCGCAGATGCCATCCACCGCCTCCCACTTGCTTTGCGCCGCGCGTAGCTCAGCGAACTCCTTGAGCATGCGCTCCTAGAACGCCTCCATCTCGCCCGCGATGAAGCGCGTCTGCGGGTTCAGCTTGAAGGTCGTCGTCGTCGCAGTTTCTCCGAATCAAACCACCTCAGGTCAAGATTTATGCAGATCAAACCCTAGGACGATCCGCGACCATCGCCTCAGATTTGCCAGGTTCGATTCGAGAAAAAAATTGTGGCGCGCGAGCGAAGAGAGACTCTAATACCAGACTGTCACGACCGTGGGTTGGACCAGTTCGCCGGCGGCGAGGTAGCTAAAGAGAGGAGGAGGAGGAGGGAGCGACCATGGTGTCACTAAGAAGAAGAGGGAGAAGGAGGAAAGCTTGGAGAGGATAAGAGGAGAGATAGACGAGAGGCTCAGAATGATTTCATTTCAAACTTGATGATCTCTATAGGGCAACCTCGCTTGCTTATAAACTACAAGCCCACACTCCATTTGGCCATCGGCCCACCCGTACAACACAACCCACTAAAGCAATGACAACTGGATTATTTCAAAGTTCCCGCTTCATTCAGAGCTCTT